TTTTCAGTATCAGCTAGAGATAATGTCGATTTATGTCGAGAAGTTACAGCCTACAGTATTACAAGGCATGACATAAGATGTGCCATTCATTTAACATATTCTTTGAAAATAACACTTCATGAAAAAAAAAGGTTTGTCTTTATTCCTTTGGTTTGGAGAAAGGTACCACTCCGTGATGGTATTCAGTAATACAAGATAACTAACGGAGTTGATTCTGAAAAGTGGCCACCGTGAGGAGTTTCTAATGTTGGGTTTCAAGCGTTAGCCCTTCGTCGGAGCGAATAAGGAATAGGCCATCGTTAATGGGATATCATATCATGGGAGGTGTGCGAAAGACGAATTGCTAATATCTTCGAACTGATATTTCCTGTACTATCATGAAAGCTTTAACCCTAGAGAGTGATACGCATCTAATTTCCCCCAGCAGTATCACCCCTTCAATCAAACATTGAGGCCATGAACCTGAATAAGGATACGACTGACGAGGTTAACAAGCTCTTGATTATTAGGCAAATTCTCCTTATAGGTGCCATAGTAAACGTATAGAGAGCGGTATGGAGAATTTGCCAACTGAAGTTAGGTTGTAAACGTTTAAAGACCAGCAAGCTTCCAGCTTTAAGTATCTGCAAAATTTGCATCTTTTCCAATTTAATAGGATGGTCTCCGGTAATTTTGACGCGACACGAAGCTAAACGAAAGAGGAAATCTTGACTTTCGGACTTTTGCTGAACACTTTATCGATAGTGCAAACTGGTTTTTAAATAACTAGAAAAGCGTAGTTTTGGATAAGTAAGTTTCGTTAGTTTTGTCGTAAAGACCTACTCTCTTAAAATTTTCTTGATTTTAATTGGTCTTTAAGGACCACTACTAAGTAAGTTACTGTCAAAAGCTTATGAACTTTGGTTCTTGACCTTAACTGGGTGTGGAACTGCTTCCCTCTGAGAATAAAAAGCAGCATTAAATCCATTATATAATTGACACAGCTGAAGGGAAAAGAAAATGACAGGAAAGTTTGAAAATATGTGAAGCTTTTTTTCTGAGGGAATCAAATCAAGTGAAGCCGGGATTCAATGAGCCGAAGTGGTTTTCGTGAATACATATCTGGTTGAAATGACAAGATTTCGGGGATCGATGTCACTGTCTAAGCAACTGCGTACCTATTCCACCCCTAACCCAACATTAATCCTAACTTGTGGTCAGTTGAATGTGGCTGGGTTAGGGGAGGGGTAAGTGTGCAGTCGTTCATGCACTAACATTGATCCGATATCGGTTATCACGACAGATGTAGTGAGACGAAAATAAAACATCCCTGATCTTTGTCAAAGGTGAAAACAGAACTCCCTAAACGTTTTACAGTAAATCTTTTCCTTTCCTGGGACCAGGAAAAAGTTATGCATTTGTTAGTAACGTGTGTTACCTACACCTGGTCTTGAAATACAGCCACAACACTGGGTATGGAAAGGAGAATCATTATTTTAGTCTAAAATGCCTCCTTTTAAATCCTGTAATAATAGACGGATAGAAATGATTGTTTAAATCAATCTCCAACTGATAAAGAAAAAAAGCTTTGAGACTTCAATAGAACACAGGTAATTGACCAGAGCGCTAGGCAAGATTCAAAATGAGGGTGTCTGCGGTCAAAATTTAGGGAAGATTTTGAGAGAATTTTCGAAAGCAAAAAAAATTATTGGGGGTTACTGTACCATGAAGAAGGAAAATTGTGCAATCGGAGTTCACTTGCCCACACAACTCTGCTTGAGGTGCGTGGGCAAGTAATCATTTCTAGACAGAAAAACGGCCCGAATTTTGTAAACATTATTAAAAAAAACCATATGGGCAAACAAGACTACCACACTATGTACGAGAATCCTTACATTCTGAGCCTGACGCTTTGTAACAGTCATGGTAAATGATTGTTCTGCAGCCCGTAAGGTGACCCTTGTTCTTTTAGACATGATACACGACCACAGGAAACTTCACCCCCACGAATGCTATTTCTTTTCTTTCATTATTGAACAAGCATCAATTAGCTTTGCCATTTTGGATCGGCTGATGCGACCAATGTTGTAGAAGACAGGTTAACTGGATAGACGCGACTTGCATCACACTGTACTCGTATCTGGGTGAGCAAATTACTCACAACCTCTTCACGAACTGTGTGATCTAAGCCTTATGTATACTTTGGCACGCACCACTAACCAGATTTAGGATTTAAGACTCCAGGTGAGAATACAATATTGTTAAGAAACAGCGTCTTGATTTCGGCTCTTATTGTATGAAAACTAACCTTTTTAGTTCACAATATATGTACCTTATGTGGAACAGAGTCAGTATCTATATATGACAGAACTTCATGACACACGAATTCATCACTTAGTGCTTGATTGTATTTTATTTAATTCAATTTCTACCCTGAAATCACAAATCACAGCAAAGAAGCGAAGCTAACTAAAAACTGGTAGATGAACGTGTTTCAGTTGAGACTAGTAAGAACAAGATCAGTTCACAACTTTAAACCAGCGCGGTTAGGTGCACTGGTATAGTCTGAGAGAGGATGAGAAAAAGTGCCATTCAAAACTTTTCTCAGTCGTTTTATTCTCCATCTTGGGTATTTAGGCGGAAGAGGGTTGACAGAACTCCCACGCTAGCTTGTATCTTGGAGCGCTTTTTTTTTTATCAGTGTTGGAGAAAAGAACTTAACGTAATTAAGACCACTAATCGAAGCAAAGAAATTTTCTCACGATTTGATTGAAAACTCAAAGTACAAAACAAGCAAACTGCGTCAAGCATGAGTCAGACCCGAATTTGCGATTTGTTTTGATTTCGCATCTGATTGCTTGACAGGGTCACGGGTGGGATTTTTATGGAACAATCACACGGTGTAATAGATTAAAATCAATCCAAAACTGGATCACTCGAGACCCGCTCTAAAGATCCTGTGTGACCGCAACGGTCCGATGATTTTAGCGCAAATAAAAGAGAACTGTTCCAACACAGTCTGTCGTGGATGAGTCAAATGTGTTTTTTATTTGCGACAAACCCTATCTGTAACTGCACTGATAAAGTTTGTAATGTTTTCTGCATGAACCTGAAGTTTCTCTTTGAGGAGCAGTGTTCTTCTGAACAACAGGTTCTCTGTACTGATCATACGATCTTCTTCAGCATGTGTATGGTTTAAAGAAAGCCTCTTAGAAAGCATTGTGATTTTTTATCCCCTTTTTTTATGCGAAAAAAAAACGGTCCTTCTCCTCCACTGGCACAACGAAGGACCTGAAATAAAGACTTCGAAATTATGTTTTCAGAAGTCTCCGATTTACGGCTATTCAGGCTGTAAAAAAATATTTGCAATTCTCGGAATTTTTCCCTAAGGCTTAGACTTGAAAAGGTGGCATATTGCCTGATGTAGGATTTAAAACAGCTCAATATATCTCTATTGCAGTAATTAATGAGTTTTGAGATGCAAAAGAGAAAATTCAGAGGCAATTTTTGACGCATATAGTATTTTACCAGGTGAAGAATTTGATTGGTGTCTACAATTTGTAAGGAACGTTTCTTCTCAAATTATGATGCTCAATAATTTCAGGCTAGACAGCACTTGCGAATTTATTTTCATTCTACCTTAGCCTACATCATAATAAATTATTTTTGAAAGACTACCTCATGTGCTAAAAATAAACTTTCTCTCCGACCAGCCCATAATTTTTGAGAGATTGCAATGTATCCTGGGTTGACACCAGGCGCGCTAACTTGTAAATTTTATGCAAATCTCATTTGAGTCTTGCGTTGGATATTCTCTCTCGGTCAGTTCTCTCACCAACACCCTCACGCATCTCCTTTGCTAAATGTCGAAGTTTTAAAACGCGGTTTCGGGGAATTATCGTCTCGCAATGGCGCTCGAATCAACAGTGAAGAAGCGGTGAGAAATCTTAATCGACTGCGAAATTTCCGCACTGAAGTTTCCGCGTTTCGGTTTTGTGACGTCGCTTTCTATCGCTTACATATTCTGTGTTTTTTCTTGTTTTCCAGAACAAATCTTCTAACCATTGTAGACAGGCTCGTTAAAAAGACTGAAACGCGAGAGGAAGTCTCTGTTCCGAAAAAAAAGGTATGTAGAGGAAGGTTAGACTTTGGCGATCGCGCACGGCGCAAACTGGAAAATAGGGTCAGAGACCGAAATTTGAAGAATCGAGGCCGTTTTGCGACGCGCTTTCCGCTTTCCTCTCGTTTTTTCGTTTTTAATAATTTGCGCATCCAGATATTTGCTGAAATTTTTTTATCTGTTTCCTTGTAAGATGTTTACGCAAGGAATTTTGGCGAAAAAAATTATGATTTGCCGTGTATGGCGTGGAACGAGTGAGATTTTGTCCATTTCGCGTACTTCGTCTAAGCGTGGATACAGGGAGAAACCGTTGGCTGCGAGTAGAATTTCGTCCTTCGTTCGTACTCTTAGCCCAAGGAAAGGCCAAATTACTCGCGCTTTTACTTATGAATCGATATATTAGGCTAAGTGGAGTGTTTTTTGGCTAAATATGAGTAATGCGCACCGACAAATGAATAGTGTTGCTTTCGATCTTGTTTAGACCTGCCTAAACCTTATTGCCGGCCGGCTGTTTGCGAATTGAGGAGGATTTGTTTTGTGGCATGGAATCTCTCGCAACTGGCAATTAGATTTAAACACTCAGTTAAACTGTATTATTCATCTCAATGTGCGCAACCTTTATAAACGAAAATTCTAGCGAAAATGTCATTTTCTTGGGTGAATTTTCGTAAAAATTCTAGAACGCACATATTTTGTACTAAAACATGGCGGCGGGCGCCGTTTAGAAACTAAAAGTAACGCGCTGGCCGATAAATGTTTGAGTTTTAAAACAAATTCGCACCTTTGCATCGAGAAAAACGTTCCATCTTAGACCGAAGCGCTAGCTGCGATGGCGCAAAGCAAATAAACACTAAAAGAGGTACTTCGATCTTTGCGTGCGTCAAGTTGTACTTTCTCACAGCCGAGATTGCGTCGAGCAAACTACTAAAAATTTCCGCTTGACTTAAGTGCACGACTTCTTCATATTACGCACGATTTTTATTGAAATGCCTTTGAAATGTTGAACGAAAATTTTGCCTATGTCAGGTAGACACACAGCTCAACTTTAAATACAGGTTTGATCTCGAAACAGTTGCAAACACTTAGGTTTTGCGTCAGGCGCACAATCATTATTCGACACCTCGATGCGATGGCGAATTTGTGACAGCATTTGGCTTTAAAAAATTCACGCAGGACGCGCATTTCCTATACAATGCGATCGAAATTTAATTTGCGCATAACTCCTCAATTGGGAGGTTTTCTTAGTGATGTTCTGTTGTTTACATTACTGCGCGTAGAGAAAACTGTTGATTAGGGGGCGTTCTCTGAAACATAAGATGCGAAATGAAGCCTAACTTCCAAGTCTCTTCATGAAGCCTCTCTGACTGGTCTCTAGTTTGCGAACTTGGGTTATTTTAATTTTGATCCTGAATGGTGACATAGGTTATGCCAAGGCCTTTTTTTTCACAGTATGGACTAAACTAGTTTTGTTTTCAGCAAGTGTGGACAGAAATGTTACATAAATTGTTAATAAAAGTTATTTTGCTAGATTTTGTTTTATTGTGAAAGAAAGTAGATGAAAGTCATTTAAGATGGTTATACTTTCATTTGCTACCCTTTCCCAGTGGCAGTTTTTAATTTGCAGCTCCTAGGAATCCAGTAAGTGTACAATATTTCATACAGCATGCAAAAGGCCAAGAGTGGTGTCACATGGAATTTATGGTGGCACTTGTAACTTGGAGATTTTGTTGGCTCAAATTGTTAACAGTTGCATGATTTGATCTTTTAACTTTTATGGCCAATTTAAACTACTGAAAACCTGTCAGCTGGTAGATAAATTATTTGGTTCCTAGTGATCAATAATTCGTCCAATTAATGTAGATTAATTTCTGAAAGGTGTTTGCCCTTTGTCAGCCATAAATGTTACATGCCACCAAATTGCTTGAGTTGGGACCAAAATTAAAGTTTGGTAGTCAAAGTTTGTTTTTCACATCTGGAGCTGAAAGAGTCTGGTCATGACACAGAAATTGAAATAGTGCTTGATTGTCCAACAAATGGTAAATATTTATAGCATTTACATTTTACTTCCTGTTTTAGAATGAACACTTGTCTCCTCTAAGACCAGCTGTGCCTATCAGGTAACTACAATTCAACTATTCAGCTAGTGAAGTTTCAATGATCTCATCAGCCAAAAGAGGTTTGATGAAATAAGTATTCTGTATACAATGTCAGATATATATGTCATTACACAAGAAATTATTGTTCAATGTATAAAATATTTTGCCATTAGATGTGTGGGAAAAATTATTTGTTTAGCTGAAAAACTTAAATATGCACTTCATCAACAGTGATGAATTGTGATTGATTTACTGATTCTCTAAGTAGTTAGCAACATACCTCTTCTCGCATTTTCAAGACAATATCCAGCCAATAAGTTGTGAGATTGGATTAAGTTTTCAGTGAAAGGTTTTGTGTAGACAAAATTTTAAATTCTCCCAGCCAATTTACAAGGAAATGTGTTTGAGCAGTAAATGAGAATTGATCAGGGAAATTTCAATAATTTTGGTTTCATCAGTGAGCCTCTAGACACAAAATTTGACTAATCTTGTAATCTGAAGGATGAGGGTAGTCCCAAGAAGGACTATTGGTAGTATTAGAGACTGATGCTTTAACAACAGTCATCATCAGAGTCATGTCTCAACTCTGATGATGACTTTCCCTAAATTGTCGAAACATCAGCCATTACTACCAACAACAGTCCTTCTCAGGACTTCTCTTACCTGGATGATCAGGTGGACTACACAACTAATTATTACTAGTGGGATGAAACTATTTACTGCTAAAGCTTCCTCAATCATGAAATGCCTCATTTAGTACTTTAATTAACAATTTTGGTGTCATAGTAACAGCAGGTCATATTTATTACCACCCACACCATCATCGGATCCAGCATCACCCTCCGTCAGTGATCAGGAGAGTGTCAGTGATGATGAACAAGTAAATGACAAACAAACCGTTGTAGAGGAAGAAAAAGAGGAAGTCAAGAAAGGTGAGTTGACAGTACAAGGGTCTGAGAGATCCATGAAAAAAATTTGCTAAGAATTATTAGACCAGGAAGTGGGAACATTGTGAAACCCCAAACCCCTACAATTTTTTTATTTGCCTAAGTTTGTCAATATTAGTTCTAGTTCAGCTTTGGAGCCCATCTCATGTTCTTACATGAGAAAAATCCCAGACTTGGAAGGATTTCTCTAAAAAATTTATCCTGGAATAATAACACTGTGACTGAAATGGAAGACACAATAGATATTAGAGATTTTTTTTTTTTTTTTTTTTTTTTGAATCCCAGGTATGGAAGACATGGTGGTCTAGTGGTTGGCATACTGGATTCTTACCCCCAAAACCCCCAGAAGTGACTGACATGTTACTTCTCCTTTTGATTCCAATATGTTATCGTGCAAAAAAGTTCTGAGAACACACAAGCTTATCAGCTAGAGGGTGTTCATTTATAACGCCAAATTCTCCTGTCTAATTTATAAGGAACTGTATGGCAGTCAGAAGTGAGAAATACTTATTTCATCTTGGGACTTAAGGGTTTGATTGAGAGGTGTAGGTTCAATCACTGGCTAAGCAAGACATGTAACCTTACAGAATTTTTTTGGTGCACATGAAGTTTGGTAATACTTTATTAGTGCTGAATGGTACAGGCAACATAAATATCTGTACTTTTGTATAAGTCTATTCTTTTGTAAATGTATAGATTATTATGTTGTCCAAAAGCAATAGCACGGATGAGAGCCCTGTTTCATTTTCTTTCCACAGGTGTTCCCAAGCAACCACCAAGATGTGATGTGTGTGGGTTAAGAGCATTCAAGTCTTACCGTTTCATCAGTCGCACCAGTGCACCAGTGCACTTAAAAAGCTTTGTCACCCCAGAGCATGACCGCCTCAGGGTTTGCAAAAGATGTTTCAGCTCACGAGAGCGCTGCCGGCAAAACCTGGCGCTTATATTGCTGCGTTCCAAGACCAGCCAGAGGATTCATCTGCGGACACCTCTTGGTGTTACCTACAATCGTGCCTCTAAAGGTATGGATTACATTGCACGAGACCTCAAGAAAAGGTTGAAAAGGCCCTATGAGGACCTCCTTTGTGATGAAACAATGGCTGATGAAGATGAAATGGAAGTAGAAGATGAAAGATTTATGTTGAATGGAAGTAAAACAAAGAATAAAGAAGGACAATTCCCTAAACTAATTTTGGCTGAAAATGGGAATTTTAAGCAAAGTGTAGTTACACCACCCTCTCCTGTTAAAAGTGTTGGAATTGTGACCGTTGTGAGGCATCAAAGTGGAAAATACAATTCTACACCAAATTGTTTCACACTTTATGGAGATGTTGACAGCCTAAAGGACAAGGATAAAGCAAGTGAGCAAGTTGAGAAACAGAACGAAAATAATGCTCCAGTAAATGTAACAGAAAATCTCAAAAAACTGGTGGATCACAATAATTCACTGCCAACAGCTCTGAGTGGATCAGAGAATTCTGAGATAAACAACATCAATAACAAGTTGACATTTCTGGACCATGCCTATGCCTTACCACCCCCCAAGGGTAAGATGTCACCATCTCATAATGCAATCCCTAAGCCTGTGAAGTCTCCTCTTCCAAAGGCAGCCAAAGTGGAGAGTGGTGTTAAACAAGAGCCTCAGAAAAAGACAGGTAATTCTAATCTGTACCTTATTTGAATAAAAAATTAGAGTCATGAGATTAATTAGGAAATGATCACCAGCTTAAGAAATTCTTGATTGTTTCACTTATCCTTATCATCAGAAATGTATAGAGAACAGAGCGGAGAATATGCACACTGATATTAGAGTGTAAAGGATTATTTAGGGGACTGGTAAAGTATGATGGAGAAAATCAAAGATGAAAACATGGTCATGCTCAATCTCTTTCCAATTACCTCCTTCAACTTTCAATTTTATTGTTTTATTTTTAAATCTGCAGATGGCCAGACATCTACTACAGAAAGAACTTGTGGAATAGTCTGCTTTCTTTGTGACAAACTGGTCACAAAATCCTACAGCTGTTACAAGAAGGAAAATGCCCCTGATAAAATCAAGCATCTGTTTACTCCAGGAGTGAAGATTGTGAAAGTTTGCCGTAGGTGTATGCCTTATAAGAAACCCAAAGAAGCTGATAATGGGGCAGGAGCTGGCAAAGGGAAAGTGAAGGTTGTCAAAGGAAAACTTGCAAAACTTCACACTGCCAAGCTGATCAAAAATGCCAAAACAATTGGAAAGGTCAATTCTGTCAAGGGAAGTGAGAAAGCAAAGGTCACGAGTGTGGAAAAGAACAGTGTAAAGTCACCAGTAAGAGATGACAAGAAAAGAAAAGAGAGTGGAAAGGATGAGAAGTCCAAACCTCAACCAGCTTCAAAGAAATTGTGTACACCAGCTGTACAAACAAAGAAGGCTCCATCAACAAAGGGAGTGTTGACTAAAGAATATAAAATAGTGAATGTGAAGTTTGTGTCAGCTGTGCCAAAGGGCATTCAGACGATTGTCAAAGGAGCATCAAAGACTGATGTTGGAAAATCAAACAAAGGTTCTAATGTGAGTAGTAAGGCATCATCAACCTTACCAAAAAGCAATGTACCAAAAAGTGATACGAACTTGACAGAAAAAGCGAACAATAACATTACAGTTGAAAAAGAAACTTCCACAGCAAGTAAGCTGAAGTCAGTGTCAGTGAAAGTAGATTCTGGGACACAGTCAATGAAGTCTATGATTGGTATCAGCAAAGTGAAAGGTAAGGAAAGTGATTCATCATCACCAAGTGAGGGTGTTTTGAAAGATGATACAGATTTGTCGATGAGTAAAAATGGGGACTCTCGAGAGATAAATGATGTTGATGTTTCAGATGTGCCTAAGGAAAAAGAAAAAGTGACTGAAAATATATGTGCTGAATCAAAAGCAAGTGAAGATGTTTCTACTATTGATGTGGAGGAAATTTCAAAAACAAGTTCTAAAGAGAAGAACAGAGAAGAAATGAATTCAAAAATGACTGTAACAGACAAAGAACCAAAAGATAAACAGAATGAAAAAGATGGAGAAAAACTTGAAGAAAGTAAATTGGAATCTAAAAATACAGAGGAACCCAAAGAGTCAAAGGAAGTCAAGGAAAAAACAACAGACTCTAAAAGCATTTTGGATATTATTATGACAAGGGGAAGACGATCAGCATCACTCTCTCCAGTTGTATTGAGAGGGACAGATTCTTCTGAAGTTGCATCACCAAGGAAGGGAAGAAGTTCAGGGACTCCAGACAGAAAACGCGAAGATAAACAAATAATGCCAACAATAATGACCCGAAAGAGACTGGCTTCATTTTCTGAGTCAGAGGCAGAGAAAAAAACAGATGAAACTCCTGGTGGCAAAAGGAGGGCTGTTGCTGCTGCCTTGCTTGAGAAAATGTCCAGGAAAACTAATGATACACCATCTTCCGCAAGTACTGCTTCAAGCAAAGTAAAGCAAGAGCATACTTATGCAAAGGAAACTAAAGATGCAAAAGAACCAGATAAAGAAGGTGAGAACACATTTCAGCAAAAAAAGAAAAAATTAATTAACATCAAACCTTTTACTCCCAATTCCCCCCCCCCTAGCTGCAACACATTTCCCTGTAAATTAGTTACAAGAATTTGTTGTGAAAGGGTTAATACATACATGCACAAAAATAAAAAATATGTAAATTTTTGAGGCCATCTTACATAAGGGTTTTTGCTCCTAAAGCATGCTCCAAGGTCATTTTGCATGACATGTATACTTGAGGGAGCATACTATTGGAGTTTGCCCCTGATTATACTAAACATAGAGAGCATTTTGAGAGTTTAAATAATACTGTCAGAGATGGACTATACCTATGAAATTATTCATACTCAGCATGAACTTGGGGAATGGAATTTGGGAGCAAGACACATTTGTGTGCATTGGCTTAAATGCACAGAAAACAATTAGTATAGGTAATAAGTTAAACATGATTTTGAGTGAAATGTGGTGTTAATAAGCACAAGTAAATTTTTCAAAGACAACAAAATTGCATGAGTGCAATTTATAGTCTTTGAAATATTTAAAAGTGCTTATTACACCAAATTGCGAGAGAAACCATGTTATTACTTGTAAATAATGTACATGAAAAAACATCACAGAAAGTCGACGCAAACAAAATTTTGAAAGCGTGCATGGGCTATTTGTAATTTTCACTTGTGTTAGAACTTTGCCCTCCTGTTACATGTGAATGCAATTGTTTTCAACCAATCAGAAACATGTAATTTTTCATGTACATTATTAGGGTAAAAAAGGTAATGATATATTTATTTGACCACATCAGTGATGTTTTGTTTTTTTTGGCTTTTTTTTATCTAGTAAAGGGGCATTCTATGACAAGAAGAAATCAAGTACCTGTGAAATGTGCAGGATGCAATGAAAAGGTTGTGAAGTCATACAGATGTGTTATGCGCACTGAAGCTCCTTCACATATCAAACCATTATTTGCCCAGCAGCCAGGAGAGATGCTGCGGATTTGCAGAAAATGCGTAAAGAAAAAGGAAATTGGTAATGGCAAGAGTAGTTCCTGAAGCAGATAATTTTATGATGTTTCTTAAGTTATTTACAACTCAAGGTATCCTGAGGTACTGAAAACTATGACATAAATTGATACAATCAAATTTTTGTGCAAACAGTTTTACAGGTAGTAAAACTAAGTTATTTATCTTCAAGTATTTGACTTATTACAGTGCATCTGATAAAACTGGAGCCATAGCAATAAAAGGTAATTTGACAGCTGATTTAAATATCAAGCAATTTCAACCTGCCTGACACTTTTCTGAATGGTATAAATCACCCAACAACCTAATTGGAACTAAAAGCAGTAATTTAAATTTTCAAATACGTTCTCCTTCAACATGCAAGGATGTAAAATTACTAAAGATCAATGGCTGGAACTTGACTTTTAACATGCCTTCTGGGAGATAAAAATTAATTGAGTAAGAGATTTCCTTTTATTGCTTTGGTGGCTCCAGTTTCAGCTGATGCTTTGTGGCACACCTTTGTGCCTGTGTTGGATACACATACACAGTGCTGCCCCTAGAAATTAACTTATATGTAACTACCAAACCTAATGACTTGGTATGTAGGTTTTTTGCACACAAAAATAGGGGTAAACTATTGAAATAAGTACATTGTTGTAATTGGCATCAGCAGCATTACATTAATATTCTTGAGCTGTTTGTATGCATTTCAGTATTTAAGTGTTATTGCAGTTTATTATATGTATGTTAATCCTTTACCTCTTAACATCAGTATGCATATTCTCCATATTGTTCTCCATACATTCCAAAGAAGCTGATTAGGAGAATTTGTTTAACAATCAAGAGTTGCTTTAGTTGGTGATCATATCCTCAATTCTTATAACTTTCATGTTTGATTCAAGGGTGATATAGTAGGGAGAAATTAGATGCTAGTCACTCTTAGAGGCCAAAGGGTTGATCAACACTTCCAGTCCTGCAAATTGTGTTGGACAGAAGTAAGAGAGATGAGATATTCCCACACCAGGATCAATGCATAAATAGGCTCAAACTTTTGACTGGCAATATTACAAACATCATCAAATCTCAATTTCCCAGTTTCATATTTTGGACACTAACATCAAGAAAGGTGATTGACTCTGGGATTAGCAATTATTTTAGTTCTTTGGAAAAAAAAAATTACATTTTGAGATTACGGAGATTTTTCCTTGGAACTTATTATGATTTTCTGTAACAGCAGGGATATTTACCTTTCTCTCTCTTTTTTCTTTTTCTTCTCTTTATTTCAATTAGTATGGAAGGGAACGATTAGATTGTGTCGTGGAGTGGAAGGCTTATTAAGTGTCCAGAATCTCTATTTTCTTTTCACTCTTAGGCCCTTAGGTTTATTGGGAAGTCTAAACACTTCTGACGTCTTTCTATTTCACAATGACATGTTTTTGTCTAGTAAGGATGCATTCATCTTATTTAGTATGTTAAGAGAGCATCCTGGTCCAAAATATTTTAAAGGTCAAATTTTGATGATCCTTTTTGGCCTTTTCAAATTGATTCCTTCTTCATTACATTTGAAATAAACACAAAAACATAGAAGTCTAGGAACTAGGCATATAATTGTGCTAGCCTGATATAATTTTTGTGAAGTGTTAACTCCATGTTTGATGAACACATGTGATCAAGAAGGCACATTTTGGGATTTTTCTCCAAACCAGAGAAAATTTGAAAATTTGGACTGGGCAGATTTTAGTAGAAAAAATTGTTAAGTAACACTAAGTTCACCAGATCACCCTAAGCTATTGCTGACCTTGATTCTGAAGAATTAATTAGTTATCATCACCATGTTAGATCTATTTGATAGAGACTTCAGTTTAAAGGAGCTCTGTTTCGTGCTTGTAAATAGCAAAGAATTAAAAAAGATTGAATAGGTACATATTTTAAGGCTGTAAATTTTAAATATGCCTGACAAATGAGAGAAGTTTGGTATTATTATTTGTATTCCTTGCCACATTTATCAGTTATACACCAGCATGTATTGATACCTAATTTTGAATGTGAGATGTATTAGTATGTTCATGAATTACAAGGAAAATAATACATTTTGCTTATGAGAAACATCATTGTATATTTTTGTTTTAATTCTTTCCATGACCTCATTTTTTAAGACAGTATAACACTTTCAAAAGTAGTGGTGGATTCAAGGGAGGGTGAAGGGGCTGTTTGGAGACTGTGACCTGGTAGCATAGCCCAGTTAAAGGTATATGGGTGATATAACCAGTAATTGGTTGACCATAAATTTATCAGCTTTTGGAACAAAGCTAAAACCTTGATTGAGGCACTCTGCCAGGACAAAAAATAGGCAAACTGATAAACAATTTGGGCATGAAACAAGCTGACCACAGTGCAAATCAAGCTTAATCATTTGACGTTTGTTAGCCTTCATCACACTGCTTCTTTCTCTTGATTTTTTTTGTCAAATTTTTACTAGTTGAATGGACACAGATTCCTGATAGAAACTGAAAACTTTAAATTGTGCTTAATTTTATTACAACTAAATGACAAAATATATTAAATAGTCATATCACAACAATAAATTCAGTACAAAAAAGTGTTTCTTTGTCATAAAATAGACTATTACTTTATTGGTGATAATTGTGAAAAAAGTTACCAAACATCAAAAACTTGAAAAAGCTTGTCTCAAACAACATAATTACAATCGAGGAAATGACCACAATGTCAGTAGAACTGTACTAATATTTTACAGCATTCTCCCAAAAATATTTCAAGCACAATCTTAAAGGAAATTAAACCCACATGAATATTAACCTTTAAACCCCCAAGACCTGAAAGTAAATTCTCCCCATTAGCTGCTACACATTTCTTAGTAAATACATTACCAGAATTTGGTGTCAGATAGAGATAACAACTTGGAACTGATAAGATTGAATATTCTCATGACCTGTTAGCAGATAATGTTTTAGATATTATAGGGAGAAGTTACCTGTTGATCACTCCTGGGAGTTAAAGGGTTAAATAGTAGATAGAAACCAATCATAAGAATTAAGGCATCCATCAAACTGCTATAATCAAACATTTTATAAAACACTTTTTTCCCAAGGGAAATAACAAATTTGTATCACTCATAAATATCCTTGACCTTAGTAATCTACAAAAACATCATCATCATCATCATCATCTACAATGTCGGTTGGGTTGTCGTTATTGTGATTATCATAATCTTCTCCACCGTCCTTGTCATGAACAGCCTTTCTTCCTTTCCCCTCATGGGTTCTGAGATGTTTACTTAGATGATCGCTTCGGCCAAATGCTTTGTTACAAATGGTGCATGTGTAAGCTTTCTCCTTTGTATGTGTTCTCAAGTGCCGCTGCAGTTCATCTGAACGAGTAAAGCTCTTGCCACAACAACGAGCTCCAGTATTCTAGAAAGAGATAAATGATTTTTAACTTTCATGATTATGTCATCTCTATCCACTGTAACTCCAAATTTAAATTGAGAAAGTGTGGTATAAGAGATAATGGGTAATGTGCATCAGTACTGCTGATAATTCCATGGGGTGAAAATAAAGGTGAAAGGTGGGTGATGCAAAAAAGAGAAGGAGTGGTTCAGTAGGATGAGGGAGAGAGAGATTGAGGGAATACTTAAAAAATCCAAAAAGAAAAAAAGAAATGTGTAACCTAAGGGAAGGAAAACTAAATTTCATGGTTAAAAAAAGATTTCAGAGGTTTGTCAGAAGTTGTTGCAAAGGCGGTGGTAAAGTAAAGTGATCAGGTGATTGGGTTCTCTCCCACTTCTGTGTAAACAAACTAACCCAATTACAGACAAATGGTCTTTCTCCTTTGTGCCAGCGTAAATGAGCCTTCAAGTGTGACGTTTTTCCGTAAACCTGCATGAAAAAAAAACAAAACAAAAAAACACAGAACTTGAGGATGCTGTCCAGCATACCTTGGTCAAAACAAGGTTTTCATGACCTACATATCATAGCATGGAGATGAAAAAAACATCCACCACTTAATTTGAAGTCTAAGGGACTATAATGGTTAAATATCATACTAGTAAGAGATGCTTGACTACTATTGATAAATGTTGACCTGATGGTACATTTGACTGAAAACCTGACAGTGTGTATGAAATGAAAGAGGCCATTTTGGGACAGGGAACTCCTGATTAAAACTGGCATGGCACAATGAAAGACATAACAACTTATCACAGTTCCATCACTTAACAGCACAAGTACATGCAGTTGTATTTAACTTAGGATAAACAGCCCCTTTTTTAAAACTGAATTTACATCTTGTCAAGTACCTTGCCACATCCAGGATAATGACAACTATGTGACCTTTGCTGCACATTTCCAGTTCCACTGTTGAGACCATTAAGACAGTTTGGACAGACACAATGAGAACGTCTCTTGTTGACTGTTTCATTTCTGAGCCCTAGGGATGAACCATCTTAGAGTTAACAACAAAGAAAAGACAAGTAATATTGCAAAGGGAACAGGCATTCCTAATTTCTACACACCATCAAATTTTTGATTCTTTTTTCCAGTCATGATGTTTGCATGGTCAGGATGCATCCTGGCAACCAAATTAGAAAGGTTTGCAATAGGAGATGATGGATCTCTCTCCAACAATGCCTCAATCAGCCCTCCCTTGTTTCTTGCCTTAACAGGACTTTCACCACAAAGCTGTGAATATGTATCTTTGTTGGGAGGACTCTGCCAGGTTTTTGTCTGGGCTGGTGCTTCTTCTTTATAACTGTACTTCTCATCTACAATTCCACTAGTTTGATATCTACATTGTCCAAAGATCTTTCTTGGATTGATGGGTGTCAGTTCAATGCACTCCATGCCCCCCTTACCACTATGACTCTTCTGATAGGAATGATTCATTTCAGTTCTGGAAAAGGAAAACTCTTTAGAAGGTATCTGACCTTGGTTGGAAAAATCCACATTTTTCAAATGTTTCTCCATCAAAATACAAGAATTTTCAGGTGGAGAGTGGTCAGCACTTCCCATCTTCTCCTCATTCTTTATTGCACATGAGTTAAGAGTTTCATCTTTTTCTTTACGACATGTCAACCCATTTTCAGAGCAATCAGACCCAATCCATGGACACAATCTTTTTTCATCCATTATGTAATTCCCATTCAGCATAGCTGGGCCCATGTCGAATATTCCACTATTCCACCTTTCTATGCAGCTGTTGTTCTCAAGTGGAGAGTCTAGATTTTGTGGAAAAGGCTTGAAATTTCCCTCTGGAAAGCAATCTGATTTAAGCTGCCAATTTGATGCACTAGCAATCCCACCACTGGAACAGACATGACCACAGCTAATCTGATTGTTGCAAGAGTTTACCTTACTTTTCACTGTTGCCATAGGAATGTTTTGCAGTTCATTTGGCCTGTAACCAACAATATTCCGTTTCTCCAGCACCTCACTAAAACAATGGGAATTCTGCACTGGATGTTCAGAATAAGCATCTCCACAACAGCATGACACTTTATCATCACTGCATGAAGAAAGTGGACATGAAATATCCACCCGGATACTCACAGTTGGACATAATGACTGATTGAAATGGCTCACGACCTTGTTTGGTGTACCTCGGTATGCACCCTTAGAAAATCTCATACTTTCATGAAGACTTGGTTCTAATTCTTGTTTCCATGGATATCCACTTTGTGTGCATGAGCTGAAAGTTGCATCCATTAACTTAGGACCCCCTAGGATGTTGGATGCCCCTGGTGTAACCTTCCTTTCATGGCCTTCACAAGCAAAGACATCCAATCTATCATTATACAAGCAGTGTCTTGAACTTGGTGTGACTGTGTGACTATTGGTGCTGGAATAATGTGTCAATTCATTGTCACAATTGACAACTGAATTAGGTGAAGATAAACCACCATAAACTGCATTGTTTTCGTAAAGTTTTCTAGGGTAGATAAACTGCGTTTCATGTGCAATTTCAGGGATGTATGTTTGAAAATCCTCGTAGCAAGCCCGTTCAAAACTTGACATTTGATGATTCCCAGAAGCAACATTTGACCTCACAACACCATGACACTCACTCGTGGAATTAATCTTCGAGAACTGATCACAGGTCGATAAAACTTTAACTGCTGGCTCGTATCGCTCACTGTGAAAAGAAGAGAGAGTACTTTTACGAGAACTGTTCCCGATAGTCGCGCTTTTCATACTAGATCTCTCTTTCCCTGGCGCCAAGCAAGAAATGCCTTCACACCCGAGTTCACTCTGAACGTACTTTCGAGGTAATTCCATCACTGTTTCGGGGCTATGTCTTGGTTTAAAGTACCAGGAAAGTTACCACACTATACCATAACTCTTAAAAATAACCAATGTGTTCCGAAAACATTTTAAACGAAGGATACCATCCGAAAAACGTTGTCACCGATAAAATTTTTTTACCGTGGCTACTGAAATATTTTTGTTCGAGCTGACTAACTAATTCAAGCGCCAAATTTAAGGATTAATTCAGGCTTTGTTAAGATACACTAGGAGTTCTTTGATTTTGTGCAAATGAAGTCTTGAAAGCGCATAAAGACAATGTGTCCATTGTTAAGTGTCTTACCTGTTAATTTTGGTTCTCTAGGAAATTTCTCTTTACACAGCGTTTAAACAATGGCGAAATAAGTCCATCGCGTCCCATGTGAATCAGCTGAGGTTGTAGAGGAAATTAAGTGGCAACAGATTATCTGACGTCTGGAAGAAATCTAAGGAGCTTGATAAACGACGGACTGGGACAATTCAATGAAGACGTTTCCGAAGCACAGATGTGTGGTAAACCTCCACTTTGCGTCAGTTTATCATTCACAAATCGCGTGCAAATCTCGCGGGAATTGACTTCACGAGCCCACGCTGCTCGTGTCAGCGACAATGTACAAGTTCCCAGATTCACTGCTGAAGGGGCGGGGAGCAGCCTTTTCCAGGTTTTTTTTTCTTTTTTTTTTTTAAAGCGTATAGAGTGGTATGTATCTCGCACCAATCAGACTGCCACATTAGGGTATGTATCTCGCACCAATCAGGTTGCCGCATTAGGGTATGTACCTCGCACCAATCATATCCCAGCATTTGGATATCTTGCACCAATCACAGCGTTTGGATATTGTTTTCTTGTAAATGATGTCATGAATTAGGGAGCTGTGCACAAAGAATGTTAAGTGTAATGGTTTGTGGCCTTCGCGAGAACCTCGTTGATAAAGGTCGAGATTTATTGGGATATGAAAGGTTCCCCTTTAAATTTCAAAGTTAAAACGTGTTTTTGCCGCTCCTTTACTCACAACGCACACGCCAAACAACTTACATTCCATCAAGTACCATAAAAACAACTTCCAAAGTCTAATCAGAACATACCCAATCACTACACTACATGAACATTAAGCAATTTTTCACGTGATTGAACTGTATTCCACTAATCAAATTCCAATTTTTCCACATAAGACTTCGCACTATCACGTGTCATTTCCTTGTTAACAACCTGAGCCCAGTTGTATAAAGGGCGGATAACACTATCCAACGAATAAATCGCTATCCAGCGGGTAAGTGATAGCAAAACGTATAGCGTTATCCACCCAACCTTCGAAGAACCGGGGCCTGGATTTTACCACGTATTCTAAACGCATTGTCCAACCCCACTGAAAAAAATTAACATAAAACTAAATACTTCTGATATTGGATTTTCCACGCAATTCTCTCGCGTTTGACTTTTTTGACGAGTTAAAGTCGCTTTAAGCTCCCTTGGACTTAATTGCCGGTTAATTCCTTGTAAAACAACAGGCATTTTATCACGTATTTAACACACAGAGGGCAAAGTCCAGATAGGCGACAACCAATCAAGGAACCCTCTTTCAAACAGTATCGTTTTCTCTTGTTCAATGTATCTTCACTTACTCGAGATCGCAATATATCTTTGGTCAGGGTCTATTTGAGGTACAGCAGAGTTTCAGTTTGCTTTTCGTGGTAAAATTACTCGAAATTATATTTTTGAGGTAACTAACTGTAAACGAATAGTTTTGATTTTTTTTATCTGTTAGAGGGACGGCAGTTGGCGCATTCTCTTTCGCAACCGTGAAATAGGGGGCGTTGTGTGACGAGACCAAACAACGGCTGCGAAGGAGACAACAACAAACGTGGCACCGATGTATTTCATTTCTTAGAAGTGTTAAGATAATAGAGACAGTAGACCACATAATATCTGTGTGAGTTCAGATAAATTTGGTTTTTTTTTCTGTCTTTCGAATTTATGCGATATTTTCGTTTTAAAAGTTATGCTCTTTTCGGTGACAAAAACGAAAACATTAAGTACACAAACTGTCCCACCTCAATCCACCCAGCCGAATAAATAACTCTTGCATGCTACGCATGCCTATGTTTTCAAATACTTCAAACGACTCAGTGACGTGAATATCATGCCCATCTCGAAGCTCTGAAGCCTTTTCTTTTACTTTACATAAATTGATTTGTGCTTCAAAGTCTCTGCAAAGCATTTTGTAGCCTTCAGGGAAGAAGAAGGGAAACTTTCACCCTCGATGCAGGCAGCCGATAAGGCTGACATGAAAAGGCAGTCACAATCAAGACAATTAAAGCGAGCTCAGGCGAAGCCGGAATTCAAAGTTTGAGTGATTAAAAGATAATTCAAGCGAACAAGGAGATACTGCTTAACAAAGCTGAGAAAACTTCTGCTTCCAGAGGTACCGTCCGAGTGAGCTAATGAACAGTTTTGTAATAAGACCTTGAAAGAGGTGGAAACTTTGTTGTAAGGATAAATCGCGTTTTTCCGCTCATTATTTTCATGGTAATTGTTGTTCCAAAATAATCAACTAATCCCGCATTGCGAGAAAAGCTTAAGGGAAAAAGCTCGCAAATACCCACTGTTCTTACAAGGAGTGGTTTCGAATACAAATATATTCATTTTTTAAGACCCTCTAACTCCTATGATGTTCCTGTCCTTCGTCATGACTTTTGTACAAGATTCGGTCGACGACAGCTTTTTCAGGCTAACACTTTGACCAAGGTACGTGTCATTCAACACTTTGCATTTACTTGTCGATCCCTCACAATTATCGTACTAGAAACTCAATGATATTAGAAGATAAATTCTTACTATTTATGTAAGAAAAAAAAAAGTTAATTACTTTACTAGCTGAATTCATCGAATATTTGTTTCAAAATTCCTGGGTTGGAAGCAGAATTATTTTACCGTCGAGATTCGTGATTCCTGTCTTTTTCTAGCCCAATGATTCATGATTCATCAAAAATTTTGTGAAATATTCATGATTCATTTGACTTTATCTGGTAATTCATGATTTCTAGGTGTAAAACGTGAAAATTCATGGATCGTGAGTCTAATTTAATTGCCACGATACACGGGTTCATGTATCCGCTTCTACCCCTATTAGTCTGCTTGATGCCTCTGCATTTCTAGTTCACAGTGAATCTCACTTAATCCGAAGACTACTGAGCTCGGTGAAATGATTGGCAAAGAGAAACGTCGAACTGTATTTTGCAATGTTTTTCATTCTCAGGAATAATTTGTATGGCTTGGAAGAGCCCGAGTGTTTTTCTCTGATTGTGGAAAATAAAATGTATAGATGTTCTTTATGAAAACAACATATTTAATGAAATAGATGCCAGCCTTGAAAAATTATAGATGTCTCGTATTGGCAATTCGTGGCTTTTTAATTAAGAAGTGTCACAGACAGACAGACATTTTAGACAGAGAATGTAAATTGGCCTTCATCACGAAAGTTACGAAGTTCTGAGCCAATTGATGCAAATGAGGTAAATTGATTAAATTGTAATAATACGCCTTACATAAGGATCTTCATTTTAGCTTCGAATGTATGCCAGAAAAAGAAAAAAAAATCCTCCTCGTGTAAGAAGTTTTCCGTTTTAGGGTGGACATGAAGGAGAAAAATATTCTACAACGCACGAATCGCTGATAGGAAGTGTCATCTGACAGTTGAATTCCTTGGAATCAAAAAGTGATAAATTGTAGTCGTATTTCAAAACTTTTACTCATGCACATTGTGTATATAAAGGGTCGACCCGAAGACGCCAGTGCCCAGTTATTTGACAAAAGGGGCACTTAATACTTATGTATTATTTAGTAAGATTACATTGAAAATGTGTTGATCAAGTTTTTCTGGATAATGTGGTGGCAGAAACTAACAAATGACTTCATGGATTAAGGAAAATGCAGCATTTGAATTTTTTCCTGGCAATTTGATTTGGGAAATTTGGAAGGGCTCATACAAAAAAAACAGCACTGCCATTTTTAATAGGGGGGAGGATTTTGCCCTATTTTTTACGAGCATCTCTATCCCACCACCCTCCCTAGACTGGGGCCAACATTGTGTCTAGCTCTGAGCTGGCAGAGCGGCTCCCTCACCCACTCGCCCCTGCTTAATTTTCCCTTGCTCCTCCCACTTTTTCGCTCGTCTCGACAAACAGAGTGCAAGGAAAATGCCACTCTTTACGCTGAGTGAGGCACAGTATTACTTGAAACGCACAGCGAAGTGTTTTGCTAGAATTGTTAGTGGTTGAAAGCTCTTGTGTTGAGTTGATTTAAATGCGACCCGCTGGGGAAAGGAAGTATTACTAGGAAATGAAGCGTGGTAAATGCCGAAATTTCAATCTTAAATTCTTCTTTTTTTAATGTACACCATGTTTGAAAAGTGATTGATCGGGTGATGAAAATAACACACGGCTTCGATCTGTTTTAATAATTTAAACGCAGAAGCAGCTTTACTTACTTCGCACTCAAGAGAAAAAGTATTTTTGGACCTTAGGGTTGCCAAAGCAATAAATTATGAAAGGTGGGATGATGAAGAAAATAATTACCCGAAAGCATTAATTGTACATATTCGTTTACACAACCTTCGTATTGCCATGGATTATATGGCATTTAAGGTTGTAAAACAACCAGCAGGGCATTATTATGTTAAGTTGTTTCTTTTGTAATTTCTGCAAACAGAAATATAGCAACGGAGTTATTCATCCGAACCACAGATCAATTACTGTTGACAGCTGTTCCCTGGTAACGGATGTAAACAAGCATAAACAGCGAAGGCTACTCGTCTACCCGGTTGAAACACAAAACAAACGCACGCGTGACAATCACTCTCTCATCTACCAAACGCAGTGGTGCAGAAAAGCCTTAAAGAAACAGTCGCTCATCTCACAAAGAAAACAGAGGAAACTCTATTTTATCGTAAGCCGCTATGGGTTGTTCTTCAAGCGCACAGGCGCGAAACGTTGAGAGAACTCCGCAACCAATTCAGGTCGCTGCTGCTCAAACGGCCGCGAACCAAGGAGGATCTGAGATGTCACCCCAAGCAAACGTCGCTCCCACGAAACCCGTGAAGATCGAAAGTACAACAACTGCAGAAAATAACCAGGTGGTAAATGATCAGAAAGATGCCCCAAGCACAGGTAACTGAATGTACAGACTGGTTTAAGTGGTTTTTTCCCGGGAAGAAATAAAGGTTCAGTTTTCCTAAGAATCGAGTGGTGTCAGTTGTTAAGATGCTTACGCTTCGATTCAACATCTGCGCGACAATGAAATCTGATATTTTTTTACTGCGGTTTGGGGAACACACAAAAATAAAGAAGTGGTTATTCGTCCTCGCACTACCCTTTAATCGTGATTTCTAATAGGATTTAACTGGCTTATTGTGAAATAAACCGTCGTTAAACTGAGAATTTAAAGGTCATTTTTGATGCCGGGAAATAAATAAAGCGCCATCTCAGAATAAATTGCTATATTGGCGCGCTGATCGCGATCAATGATACACCGTCCTATTTTAAGTTTGTATGTACCAGTTGGAGACATATTACTTGAATTCAAAACTATATAGAGGGAAATCGTTTTACTTCAAGAAAGAAAGAGCGGACATGTGAGAAATTAGAATACAAGCTTCTTATCAAATGAGAGATATTCTGACGTGTTTTAGCATGTGTCCTCTAACCATGCTAATAAAGAACGATTCATAGTCGGAAAGCGATTAATTTTAGTGTGGACACATAAAGTAAACTTTAAATCCTCAGCACGCATAATTGAAAGACTCTACGACTCGTACTAACCATATTTCTGAAACCTTTCATTTTTTTTTAATCAAAATTCAATTTTTAGTAGGGAAAAAACACGAAACCCTTGCCATGATATACCTGCTGTTATAAAATGGGAATAAAGGCGAAATGAAAATCATTTTAAATGCGCTTGATCTTCTAGATTAAAACTGACAATTGGAAATCCCATGTGTTTATACATCCAAAACTTCAGTTTGCATTGAACAAATACAATATACGGCTTTAGTGTGGCGAACCTCGAAATACATATCTTTCTATGAAAATCTTCACAAATCGAAGCAATTTTTTTCAGTTGCGAAAAGCACATTTAAATATTTTTCCCCAGTAGTGAACAATAATATTTAATCAAGCACGGTAGAAAGGAATAAAATGAACAAATGGTTTTTGATTAGAAAACTGCAACAGTTGCCATGGTAGGAAATGAATTAAGACTAAACAATATATATAGCCGTATCAGAAGCGTTTTTTTAATTGCGCAACGGATTTCTTGTAAATTAAACTTGTTTTGTCTAAATCCCAACTCTAATTAATACCACGAAATTGTTTTTATTTCGATAAAGCTAAATAAGCATTAAGCATGTTCGAGAGGACGATGTAAACCGTGTCGTGTTTTGTTTCATTGGTTTTTATTTATTTATTTTTTCACTTGTCTATTCTAAAGTGTTTGTTTCAAGACAAAAGTGTTTTTAAAATTTTTGTCATGAGATACAAATGAATAGTTGCTATCGATATCATGCTGGAACAAAGCTTGTCAGCAGTTTCTTCCTTTTATGAGTGGAGAGAAATCGTTCATCCGTGTAGCCTTTGAGCTAAATTATTCATTCAGCTAAATTGTCAACAACTTTTTAGGTCTTGAGTTTTGCTTTCCCGAACGAAAAAAATTCGATCGTCAGAAATTTGTTCCTTCGTCAATTTGCTATTTTTCTGTGTAGTGAAGAAGGCTACTTTATGCACAGTCGTTTTCGACGAAAACAGTCGAAGTAAAAGAGTATTTAATGTCTATACTTCATTGCTAGACGACCATAAGTTACTCTGAATAAGATAAAAAAACAGCTGCCAAGCGTTGGATAACTTTGTACCACTAGCGCTTTTGCACTATGTCGGTGACGAAAAAACGAACAACTGAGAAGTGACAGAGAAAAAAATCAGAATGGTATACTTAGTCTGGGAGTTATCAGATTTCTTTTGCGACACTATTAGGAGATATCTATGGAGTACAGAAATTTGCCTTGTCAACCTTTAGGCGCTGTGTTTTGGTAGAGGATTTTGAGGGAATGAACCAGCAAGTGTAAACGCGCCTTGCGTGTTGTAAGGTGGGGAAACTCGGCTGCAAATGAAGTATTGTTACAGCTGAAATACCTAACTCCTTAGCTGTGCCTCTAGTGGAGTTATCATTGGCCAATTCTGCGCTTGCATTGACAGGAGCAATTCTCTGGTTTCGAAATAATTTGCAAGTTTTATTTCAGATTTTATCCATTAGTTGCAACTTTTAAAAAACCAACCCCAGAAATGTTGAAGCGGTTTATTGATGCGTTACTGTCGAGGAAACGTATGGAATATTTGAAATGATACTACTGGCTAAACGGGAATGCATGTTTATTGTTTTATTTTTATTTCAGAGCAACCAACTCAAGTAGATGGTAAACCACAAAGTTCCGTTCCCGAGAAAGCGAGCGAGAACGAACCGCGAGAAGATCCTCTCGGTGAAGAATCGAGACCTGAAGTAGTGGAGGAATCTCAACAAGAAGTTGTACAAGGAAAGAAAGACGAACAAGTTAAACCACAGGAAGAGGAGGCGAAGAAAGACAAAGGAAGAGAACAGAGTGGATCAGGCGAAGAAAGCACGGCTCCCAGTAAAGACGAAGAACAAACTCAGCAACCGGCTGAGAGTGAAGTGAACGCCGAGGCCGCAGCGGAAAGCAGCGGTAGTGATAAACCTGATGTTGAGCAAGTAGAGGAGCAGAATGAAGCTGTGAAAACAGAGGCGCAAGAAGGAACTGAAAGAGAACCAGAAGTAGCAAAGGAAGGTGAAGAGGCGGCTGCACCAGTGGACGGAGAAACGCCATCACAAGCAGAAAACGCAGAAGAGATGCCAGCTGCTGCTGATCAAACACAGCAATCGCAACCCGCAGCCGAAGAATCTAAACCTGCGGAGGAAGAATCACAACCAGCGGCCGAGGAAACAAAACCTGAGGAACAAGTAGCGCAACCTGCGCCTGAAGAAGCGAATCCTGCGGCCGAAGAAGCGAAGCCCGCGGCCGAAGATTCGAATCTAGCGGCTGAGGAATCAAATCCCGCAGATGGAGAACCTCAAGCCGACGAACAGCAAGCAGCTGAAGAGCCGCAAAAAAGCGAAGAAGCGACACCGCAAGAGGAAACACCGGCTAGTGAGGACAGTTAAGAATGTATTGGGTTCCCGTAAAAACAGTGAACGCCTATCATTTCACGTAATTTTACAGTCTGGAACTGTACACAAAATCCTTGTCCACGTAGGTTCTTAAGGTGGACAACTCTATCCAGTGGTTAAATTTCTATCTTGTGGATAGTGTAGTACGTTTTGTAAGCACTTATCCGCTGGATAAAGATTTATCTGCTGGACAGCTTTATCTATCGTTCGAAAAACTGGGTTCTGAAGCATGACCCTTTTTACCATGAAGGTTTTACGTATCTATGTATTCAGAGACACAGGCCTTGAGAAGATCTGTTGAATCTGAATCAGTAATTACAGCTTTTATCATACACAAGGTTTACTTGAATACATATCGGCAAAACAGTAAATCGTCACTCTAGTAACACCAAACCTAAAAACATTAAACTCAAAATAAAACACACAAATCTAAGTTTAACGCAAGATAAAATACTATGTATTTAAAAGAGAAGGAAAGTTTTACCTTATGAAATAAAGAAATAGAGATTGATATTTTGTAAGTGTTGAGAAATCTGATAAATGATTAAAATCAATGATTAAATGATTAAATCATAAGACTTACGTATTAAAAGAACCAGTAATTTTCACTATTTCTCGGTGCCTTACAATTACTTCCCTATGACAGAAGATAATAGTTTACACTATAAATAAGCTGAGGCATGTGGATATGAAAATTGATTGTAAATACTGAAGAAAGCAGAACTTGATTTATTTCTGTAGTATAATTGTACGTAGACTGTGATTTTCTAGAGAGGAAAATTAGTAACTCATGTGTGTGAAGGTCTGGGTAAAACATCGATTTAGCTAAAAGAAATCTTGATCACTGATGATGCTATAGTATAGTTTGTAGTAGATAACATACTGACGAGTTTAATGACAGGAAACATTGTTCAAATACTACAATGATTTTCTTAGATGATTTGTAAACAGCTGTGAGGAACAGTTTTTGACTCTTTCCGGTCAAGGTTTTTAAACTGTTGTAACTGTTTTTGTTAAATGAAATAAAACTCAGTTCTATGTCGGAGTTGATAACGTTTCCTTCTCCGCTTCTCTCGTTACCGTATCGAAACTCCTTGTGGTTCAGTTTAATCACCGCTTGTTTATGTGCAAGTAGTTTGTGTAAGCCCTCCTAAGTTGACTTCACAAACCAAAGGACTACCCCAACGATTGCAAAGAAACCGACTGACAGGCGTCGACAGAGCGCTTTTCGATTGAGTGTCGTCAAACCAAATCCAGAGTTATCACAACAGCCAATCAGAACAAGGGAAAATAGCTTCATGAGTCAATGAGAAGGCACAGTGAAAACGAGTAAACTGCGTAAAGCGCGGGAAAACGCTTATGAGAAAGGCGCGATTGGTTTTGGTTTTGCATCTGATTGGTTGCATGGGGGAGGGGCGCGTGTTTTCTAGACCAATCACGGAGCGAAGTTAAGCTAGCTTAGAGCAATCCGGGACTGACCAGGATTGATTTCGACACTCATTTGAAAATTACCGACCCTGAAAGTCCGCAATTGCATTGATTTTGCTGTGCCTTGCTCTGTGATTGGTCTAGAAAACTCTTTCCAGCATCCCAATCAATCAGATGCAAAACTCAAACCGGATTAATCATGACACTCGAGAACCGTTCTGCACCACTCAACGAGAGGATCTTTATTGACATATACTGAGGTTTATCAAAAAAACGCTTCTGGCTCTAAAATTTTTACATATCATTGAATATCACCCAACATCTCCATGCCATTACAGCTTACTTGCAGTGACCTAAACCAGGGCAAAGAAGAAATCCTACCGTAAGAAGAAGGCAAATAACTTCGACGTTGCCAAAAAAGCATAAGAGGATTTGAGCGTTAGTCCTTTGTCTTTCGCTCTGGCGAAAGGTTAACGCTCGAAACCTAAGCTTTGAACTCTTCACAGTGGCCAATTTACGTTATCAACTCAGTTGATAATACTAACTTAGCTTTTTATCCTCTCCCACAGACGCAGCACCACAGTTTCTTTAGAAATATATCCCCTGTATTCACGACTTTTATCACCCGCGTTTTCCGACGCTTGCTTTGACTTTCGAATGGTCAATGCGGGCTCGTTGCGATAACTACGGCCCTGGATTTACGACACTAAATAGACATGCACTCTTAATAGCAACTGGTCCTAGTGGATAGTGATCCATTTTCCTAACACCTTATTTCCAAGTAGAGATTTATCCACTAAACAGCGCTATCTACCTGGTTGGGACAAACTAGTTGGTCTCAGCGACAAACCAGCAATTCGTGCGTCGTGTCACCGCAAAAAATCGCTGCGACTAATATATCGCTGCAAACGTTATTTTTTAAACCTACTTTAACTTGTGCTACCTATGGTGGCGAAAAAAATTCTGTCGCAAAGCCAAAGATTGAAATTTGTCTTCCATGTCCCCCGCGACGAGTTGCAGCAATTTTTTGTCTGGTGTCTTCTGACAATAAAACCTTCCTAATCAACCCTGATAGATAGACCCAGCTCAAATTTATACGATAATGAACAGTGATGGGAACAAAAAGAAGAAACACGTATCGAGCGACGTTCTTGTTACAGATTATCTAATCATCCTCAAGAACGTCAAGAGCCTCCAGGGTTTGTTCCTCTTCATCACACGAGGCGTAAAGAGATTTTAGAAGAACAAAATTGCGTGAGAGCGGACCGAGGCTAACTCGACTACACGCAGAATGAGCTTTCCACGAAGCTTAACGGGGTCTTCATCATATGGGTTTTTCTAAATATTTTGTTAGTTCCCATATTATTTTTGTAAAAAAAAAAACCTGACCGAAAAAAGAAATAAATCAAATAACCAAGTCTGAAAAGGCAAAAACATTTATTTCACACTAGTGACTTCGTTTGGAGCATTCATCATTCCCTACCCGTTACAAAGTTTAAGCGAGTTTACACTTCCCTCTTTTTAAACTCACAGAAGATTCTAAACTTTCTCTATAGTTTGGATTAGTTTGTGTCTTTATCGTAGTACCACATCAATGCCTACTCATCCTTTACCTCACCCACAATCGCAACTGCTTCTATCTCAACTTTTCCATACTGAAAAGAAATATATAAAAATTCCTTATTTCAGTGTATCTTTACCTTGGGAGTCGCACGAATTATGATCTGGGACCTATGCAGTATTTTCCAGGATGTGGATACCAAACCAACATCTTAATACCGTTTGGGGGCACGCCAGGGTTTTTTCTGCTACAGAGAGTTTTTGATCGAGCATCGAAAGTAAACCAGGACTGTACGTCACTCTGTGTAGGTTTAGAAAACCCACGCCACCGTCTTAGCTAATCAGATACAAAAGATACACCAATCGCGACCAGAACCTTATAACATCAGCTTATATCGTGATATGGTCACTCACGTTTCCCCGCGTATTTTCACTCGCGTTTTCACGCGCGTTACCCAGCTTGGTTTTTTTTCTCTTTGAGTTTTCATTAGTTCCTTGTGTTATGTACCTTGTACTTTGGTTTTTGGTTTCAAGGCATTTAATTGAAACACCTTTTGTGAAAAGTATCACTTTTTCTAGACAGAGAGGGGCAAGGTGTACCCTGGGAGCCTTCCCCTCTACTACCCTTGACAGAAAAAGGAAAAAAAGGTAAATTTTCTGATGGATGAAATGTTTATTACCTTGGGAAGATTTCCTACTTGATAGGCTGCCCTTGCTGGCTGTTTTGAAGTGAAAACTGTGAAGAATAAACAATATGGAATGCTTTCCTTCACTAAAAGCCAATCAGAGTACAGTGCAACCCTTAATACTTTCACTCACAAGATCTCATTAGTAATTTTCCTCGTTGTCTGCCATACAATTATAGTGAAGTTAGTTTGGAGAATTTGATATTGGATCGACTAATTAATCTCATTAGGTTACCCTCATTATTGCAGGCAACCCTGTTTGAACTCTGGCTGAGGAGAGTCATGGAGTGATGAGTCTTAAAACTGAACGCAATGGAAACTCTGGCCAGGACTCATTCCCAGACCCTTTAATCCTGACTCTACTAAGCTATCCAGTTGATCACCATGAATCCTACTATATAGACAAAAACCATTTAAACCTTTAACACCCAGAAGTGATTAACATGTAACTTCTCCCTACAAAATCCAAACAGTATTCAGCAAAAATGTGATGAGAATACTAAAACTTATCAGGTAGGAGTAGTGATCTTGAACTAACACCAAATTCTGGTAACTCAGTTATAGGGAAACTTCTAGAAGCTAGTAGGGAGAATTAACAATCAGATCTTGGGAGTTAAAGGGTTAACAACCGTTACATTGAAAATCACATCAATGACAGTAAACTCACAGGTGGCATAAACCTCATTCACTTTGGCAAAGTCTCCAATGTCCGCCAATAGAACGGTGGTCTTCACAACTAACATGTAAATTTTGCTTGCATATTAGAAACATGCCATGATTAGTTTGCTAAAATTTGACAGTCCAGATCTGATGATTTCCCTTACATTTGTAAATCAAAAGTTCACAAAATAATCTACAAGAATTGGTGCAAGTGCTTCTAACTTGATATAGATATCATTACTCAAAAGTAAAAATATTGCTTGCTGCTGGCAATTTTTTTGAAGCCATTCTTTTTATCTGGACAGCAAACTTTAAATTATAATACTTATAAAATGAAGAGTATAAAAAGTTCTTCTTCTTCTTCCTCTGTCACCCCACCTCTTTCTATATAGTAAATAGTAAATACTACTGGGTAATCTTTAAAATTAATTAATAATAACAAGGCCAGACCACAACACCAGAAGCTATATTCCTTGCTCTTTACAAGAAGTGCGTGGGTTCATTAACCTCCCTTGCTAACCAGTACAGAGGAGATGTAGGAGATGGGGCTTACAGTTAATTACCCTTAGCTGAGAAGACCAGCGAGTCTAACCACTTACAGATGTCATAGCAAAGGTGACACATTCTCCTCAGTTATTTTTTAGACCCTGAGTGTTGGTCTGGTCTGGGGCTTGAACCCTCCCATGACCAAGTTACATACCTTTGTCAAATGAGGAGCCTCCTGCCTCCAGAATATGGCCCATGTTGGTCAATGCCTTCATATAAACAGCATAGAAATTAATTAACCCTTTAACTCCCAAGATCTCATTAGTAATTCTCATTACTGTCTGTCATACAATTCATATGTTAGTTTGGAGAATTTGGAATTGGATCAACAAATAATCCCTCAATTGATATTTTTCTTTATTCTCATCACTTGTCTGCTTGATATTGAGCAGATAGTGTAAGGAGAAATTCTATCTTGGTCACTAGTGAGACTTAAAGGGTTGATAAAAGTAGGTCTCAGGAGACAATATTGTCAATAAGGACAGAAGATGAGATAAAACTGGAATTCCCTTCATAGGAAGTGTGGTGTGTATTGTATTAAACATACTTTTGTTAAAAATACCTGCTTAGTTTGCTCTGTGACATCATCTGATACAAAATCCATAGTCTTTCCAGATGACAAAAAGACAAAATATAAAAAAAATATGACAATGTTTATATCAAATTGAATGGTAAAATAGTTACAAGTACCTGTTCAAGGGTGTAGTACACATTTCTTTTTAACCCTTCTGGGATTCATATTTTTAAACAAAAAGTATCTCTGGTTTGTTATCATCAGAGTGAGTACAGTGTCTTTACAGTGGTCAGTTCAAATTTGAGCCTGAAGGGGGTTATGGTAATGACTTCTGTCAGTCTGAGATTAACACCTTGAAGTTGAAGATAGTGGGTATTCAAAGTGCTACCCTGGTTCAGCAAGCTGATGCCACTGACAGACTAATTCTATATACAATCTGAATTACAAACATCATCCCCCACTGATGCCAAGGTTGCAAGAACTCTGCCCTTTGTCTTTGTAAGGAGGTGGGGGAGGAGGATGGGGAATCAGGTCAAGTAGCTATAGAGTCCATAACTTCTGGTGTTTATCCCCAGTTTTTGTGGCATGAAGAGACCAGGAGTATCTCTACTCCCACTTTGGGGGGGAAGAGGCTCCTTATTCATCTTAGGTAATCTCATTGAATTTTGAGGGATTTCCCAAGCATAGGAATATATTTTCCAAGAATAAAGCACAAAAAAGGAGCCAGTATTCCAATTGGGACCTCTTGATCTTGTGTCCAGCAGACTAATCACTTGGTAAACATGCCTCCCATCATGCTGTCACGTGATGCGAATTATCTTAATTTAATTATGGTTACACTCACGTTTGGGTCTAGTCCCAGCTGTCCAGACACATACATTGTTTTGTCTGCAATTACAGCTTGGCTGTTCAAAATAGGAAGGAGCCAATATGAGTCTCTTTTAGAACACTATTTAGATTACCAGCTTACCACTTTCACAGCAGTTCTCTTGGTTGGCAAGAGAACTGATGTGCAAGTTGGAAGTCATGAGTTCGAGGCCTAATGAGACTACTCAAGGTGAGGCCTCAAAAAAATGTTGTAGGTCGTTCTGGTTGTGATCGAGACTTCGTTTCAGCTCACATGATTACACATCTCACGATTGACACCCAGGAAGGGAGGGGGAAACTCCTCCACATAGGCTATGTAGGCATGCACAGCTCCAAGGAGTGTTGTTGAAGACCCCTTTTGGTCCGAAACAGGGTATCAATTTGATGCGTTTAGGTCGATCTTTCACGTCCCTCTAATTCTATTTTTCTCGATGCTACGGGCATACTCGTAACTTCTTCTTCGAAATATTTACCTGTACACACCACGAATCGGCTGAACTCCCTTCGAAGTATGGACAATCTTTCTTACAGTATCCATGTGTAAATCTTAGGAGAAGTAACTTAAACTGAGTTGCTTCATGGACCATCGAGGGTGGAGAGGGGCAACGTTTTTGTCTCTCCTTCCTGAGAGCGACTCTCTCCGATCGCAAAGGTTTTCCAAAAAATAAACTTACAAATTCCGTCTAAAATGAAAACTTAACGAGTACTTGAAACAATGCACGTGAGCGAGACTTTCAATTACTTATTTTTGTCTGCACATTTAATCAGTGTCGTCTGTCTTTGTACCCCGACGCACACTCCCTCGTATTTAACTTTGTTGATCTTACTTGTAAGGTCCAATGGCTCCAGGAGCTTTGGAAGTGCTTACTATTTTTCTGATTGTGGCAGCCATTCCTCTTAACATCCCTGTATAATTTATGTATATGTTGCGACACGCGATGCCACAAACCGATCGCAAAGATGGCGGGAATAATCCGAGTAACTTTCCCCAGGGGGGCGGAGAGTCGGAGTTGACAAACGAAGCGACGTATCCCCATAGAGAGGGAGAGAGTTTGAGTAAACGTCAGACTTCACTGGACAGCGGGTGTTTTTAAAGACTAAGTTTCGATAGTACTTGATGATCAACGAGGATTCAGAACGTTGCTGGATGGTGGATGGTGAATGTCGGTCGATGATATAGCTCACAGCAAGGTCTGGGATTCTTCTCTCTGAATATACCCAACCAAGATTGCAGAAGCATGGTCTGTAACATAACTATCTGTTATAATTTGACGTCTCTTCACGTACTAAACGGAAACTGCAATGGTAAGCAAATAAACGAAAGGTAACGAAACGTCGGCCTTCCCTTATAAGCTAAGGCTCTAACTGAATAGTGAGTACCTTTGATATCGCTGATGAGCATGAGTTCAGTCAAAAGGTAGCCCTCTATGAGATGCTAATTGAGTTTCAAATTTCGATTAATTTTTCACTCAGTGTAGAGACCTTTCCAAGTGTACACAGAGTGGAAAACTTACAAATTTTGTCGCTCCTGTGAACTGGAAAAGATGTCCTCTTTGTTCAGAGAAAACTAATGGAGGTTACTGACTGATTGCAATCGATTTTGTAACCTGGGTTTTGTTTCCCAACATTTCATTAACATCTCAGTTTCAATTTCCAATCTTTTTTTTTTTACTTTTACTTACAAATATCAAAGATTCCAATAATAGTATTTAAAAATTACAGGAAATGGAATGCAATATCTTATTGATTAGTTGCCCTTGTCTCATAACATATTAAAGAACTGTAACAAAGCCGAAGAGATTTTGTGATGGACAATTGAATGGGGAATGAGAGTTGCAAAAGGGGGGCAAAGGAGATTCAAATCTCCTGCTTGAACAAAGGTTTATAAGCTATCCTATTGCTTCTTCCTGATTTAACTACAGACTTCTGACCCCTTTTGTTATGAGTACTGCAGATGAATGATTAAAAATGGATATTTATCTTTTAGCATTTGCATCTACTTTCTAACCCATCAGCTCATACCTCTTCTGCCCCTTCTTCCATCTTGGGTGTCCGGAAAGCTAAGACCTAAGTCCTAAGACCCAAGACCTGGAAAACTAAGACCCTGGTTTCTTTTATGGGAAATCATCAAATTTCAGCTTCCTTACCTGGATTAAAGTTTTCTGCATTACTTCAAGTTGTAAAGTGAATTCCACATCTTAATATATGTGTCTCCTTGCTTTTACTTTCTGAGCTGACATTCTGTTTTCACAGAAACTGAAAACTAGTAAATGGTAGACTGTGTTGGTGGGTAAACTGGAGCGAGCATAGCCCTTTTCATTTCTCTTAGGGCTCTGAGGCTAGTTGTATTACTAACATTTTTTTTTTATAAGTGACTAATTCTTGTTCATCCTTGAGTGTTTTATGAAGAAA